TTTCATTGTTTTGATGATTAAAATGTTTGTGTTTCATATTAACTTTGCACAAGAAGTGGTTTAACAAAGACTTTTAGTATCACAGTCATGATTTTAGACATTATTTTTATTGAACTTTATCGAATTGTTTTGAAATATATCGTATCGAATCAAAAGCGCTCTGTATCGAGATATGTATCGTATTGTGACCTATGTATCGTATCGGCCACTTCTTAATGATACCAGCCCTAGTAAAAAGTAAAAATCACCAAAACACAAGAAAATGTGACTATACTGACTCACATTAGTGCCATGTGCGTGACAATTTCCTTTAATTACGCACTCGTTTCACAATTTTATTATTACCAAGCAACCCAAATGAGTTATATCCCAGTTTTTTATTTTCCCAGTTTTTATTATTTTATATAAAATCTAGTCACCCTAACCTAATCAATAATTGAAAACCATCTAATGTCTCCCATCAGTACAGCCCAAGATTGTACGCATGAGGAAAACATTGGTGATAAAATTAGCAGCGATTACAGGTAGAATAAGTCAGAAATAGGTGGTAATAAGTCGGGCTGGGTATCATTAAGAAGTTGCAGATACAATACATACCTCGATACAGTGCACTTTCGATTCGATACAATATATTTCAAATTGATTCGATACAGTTCAATAAAAAATAAAGGCTAAATCATGTCTATGACACTAAAAGTCTTTGTTAAACCACTTCTTGTGCAAAGTTCATATGAAACACAAACATTTTAATTATCAAAACATTGAAAATATCAAATGTGTTGCATAAACGAGTTTACTTCCTCTAAACAAACAACAAAACTGCAGCTCTGTAACAAAATAATTTAGTAAAATATACCAAAAAAATACTCGAAACAGTAGCCCACGATATCGATACTGTATCATCACATTAAACGATATGATATATCGATATTTCTATATTTTTGCACACTCATACTCACATTAGTGCCGATTGCATGACAATTTCGCTTAATTACACACTCGTTTCACAATTTTATCATTACAAACCAACCCAAACCAGGGATGTGTGAGTTTTTTTATTTTGAAAACCTGCTCATCCTAACCTAATCAATAATTGAAAACCATCTAATGTCTCCAATCAATACAGCCCAGGATTGTACGCACGAGGAAAACATTGGTGATAAAATTAGCAGCGATTACAGGTAGAATAAATCATAAATAGGTGGTCATAAGGCAGGTTTTCGGTAGGTATAATGTTGCTTTGTATGTTTTGTGTGGTTAGCTGTGGGGCCCCTTGAATGTAATTGCCTTACGCCACTGAGTTAGCACACGGCTAACACGGCTGCTGCTGCTGCTTTCACCAAGACTTGTTTTAGTCACAACCAAGCGAGCCATCGGGCGATCAAAACCCGAAATAACTCCGGTCTGTACACCGCTGTCACTATATATTTACGGTTACAGTGTGGGGTTAGTCGAGAGAGCAAGGATTGAGCCGCTGCTGTAAAATGGCTTCTCAATAATGAGTCAGGAAAACAGTCCGCTAAAGGTAGCATTAGCGGGTTAGCTCTTAGCACGAGAGTCATTGGAAACATCGGGCGCATATCTGGTACGAAACGCGCTCTTACCATTTTAATCCCGCCTCTGTCGCCTTGATATCGGTGTTATTGCGGTCGCCGGGTCGTTCTCGGTGTGTCTCCGGTTCGTTTTGTGGGTTTTTTTTTCCCCCCGTGTCTCGGCGCTGTGTTGCTGTACGGTCCCTTTGCTAACTGCGACCGCTCGGCTCCGCTCGCACAAAGATCTGCGCCTCTTCACGGACCCTCGGAAATAATCAAGACACCACGAAAATCAGCGCTCAGTCACTAAAAGTAAAGAAAGCAAGAATATCTAATTTATCTGATCTAATCTATAAGCAATTGTGATTTAATACAGATGGGCAGATAAAATTTAATATTGTTCAACTACAGAGTTTTGTTGTAATATAGCGTGGTCTTGGGTCTAGTGAAAAATAAAAATGATAGTGAAAATGATTATTTTCCAACAGGCTCCTACAGCTCCGCTCAAACAGTGAGAGATACAGAGATATACTACATTCATACTATAATACTCCCTACAACTGTACAGCTTACCTTTATGTGATGGATAATGCTCCCTACAACTGTACAGCTCACCCTTATGTGACAGATAATACTCCCTACAACTGTACGACAACTTACCCTTATGTAACGGATAATACTCCCTACAACTGTACCACAACTCACCCTTATGTAACGGATAATACTCCCTACAACTGTACGACAACTTACCCTTATGTAACGGATAATACTCCCTACAACTGTATAACAACTGACCCTTATGTAACATATAATACTCCCTACAACTGTGTGGCAACTCACCCTTAATTAACTGAGAATACTCCCTACAACTGTACAACTCACCCTTATATGAGATAATACTCCCTACGACTGTGAGACACCTCCCCCTTACATAACAGATAATACTCCCTACAACTGTACAACAACCCACCCTTATGTAGTAGATAATACTCCCTACAACTGTACAACTCACCCTTATATGACAGATACTCCCTACAACTGTACACAACTTATCGTAATGTAACAGATAACTCTATGTTCTGTCAATAATCATATCATTGCACTGTCTTCCTATGACCTCTTCTATATAGCGGAATTTTTTTTTAATTTTACTACTTTAAAAAATAATAATACATTTTGACTTGTACATTTAAATGTATATAATTATGCCTTATTTTACATCAGTCTCTTGCTCTTTTTTACTACTTAGAATTTATTATTACCATTTATATTTTTACTCTTTGTTATTATATTATATTGTGATGTTTGAGCTACTGTGTTCAAATAATTTCCTTTGTAGATCAATAAAGTTTGTCTAAGTCTAAGGTTCTATATTTGGGAATTTACCTTTCTGATATTTCGTGGCAAAGTACCGCCAATTATGTGTTTGTTAGCTTGTTTTTTGTTTACTGTGTTCCCCCATTATTATTTATATTGTTTAATTACTTTGCTTAAATGTGCAATAAACGTAAATACAACACTATACAAAAATAAGGTGTTTTACATTTTAATGAGTGCAAATACACTGTAGAAAGCAACAGTTCCTTTAATGTGAAGTTTTACAGTAACCCTCCTTGAAATTATTTTTTATCGTCATATACATTTGGTAATTAGAATATACTTAAATTTTAAAGCAGTAGTTTCTGTGTATTTAAACACTGGTACAAACAGCACACAGGTAACTTACACCGTAGCCTACTAAACGCGATCCCTGAACGCACCACAGTCGTCACGATCGTTTTCTTTTGGACTACAAACATGGCCGTCCAAAACAACTACAAAGGCGAAGGACGGTGCAGTGTGTCAGGAGCATGCGCAGACAGCTGCTCCAGTCACCCAGTATGACATTTTAATAATATATGCCAAGGACCGAAGAAGCACGACTCTGACATTTACGTGCGCGTTACCGTGCTCGTGCCCTGACTTTACGTGTAACAAAAACAAAAACACTTCAGTCGCTCAGCGTGTTTAAAATGACCTTTATTTCTCAAAGCGCGGGGGGAGATGGACCGACCGCTGTTTCTCCAGCACGCGTTTTACCAGTGACACCATGTTGTCATTTTGGGACAGGGCAATTTTGGGACCGTAATTTACTGAGCGGTCACCTCCCTTTAGCGTGCACCTGCAGAATGACAGTCAGGAAGCGCCCTCTGCTGGACGAACACAGATAAGCAGACACGCAGTAGCCTATTAAAGGATAACATAAAGACGCACTAAGTAACTTTTCTGGTGGAGTGTCTGCCATCTGCTTGTCTTGTGGAGACTAGGGCAGACGTCCCAATTTACCCGGGACAGTCCCAGTTTTGAGCCCTGTGTTCTCTGTCCCAGAAGATTTATACAAAATGAGCGATTTATTCCAGTTTTATACAAGAAATGTTCCAGGTGTCCCTATTTTTGACCAGTTTGATCTAAACCAGGACTATATCAACTCTAAACCAGAACCAAAACTGGACTATCACAATTTTTGACTAATCTGATCCTCACCAACAGTAAAGAGGACCATAAATTATTATTTGTTTTGCCAAAATACAGTACTCTGTGTTTGCAAATGACCATAAAGCAAAAAATGCAGCATCAGAAATCCCTCAGATTATTGACTGACACAAGAATACACAATGTTAGACTAGAGTTCTTTTCACAATTTTATTTATACCAACAATCTCAACCCGAGTGTGTCCCAGTTTTCAGTTTTGAAAACCTTGTCACCCTAGTGGAGACATTATAGCTTTACCAAAATTTCCCACAGTATTCCAAATAAGCTAATCTATTTCCAGACGTGGGGACTTGTAAGTCGAGACCTGGACTCGAGTCAGACTTGAGTCACTATTTTTAGAACTTGAGACTTGACTTCATAAAATGGACTAAGACTTGGGACTCGATTTGGACTTGAACATCAATGACTTGGGACTTGACTTGGACTTGAGGCCTGAGACTTAAGAAGACATGATGCTTCTTCTAAAAAGATATATGTTTTTAGAAAATACTTTTCTCTTTACAATTGACATGTGTGATGCTGAATTTTAAGGGAACGAACTGGAATATGTTGCTGTTACTGTGGATGGAACTGAAGTACTGTGATACTCAAATGTACTACAGTATAATACAGTTCAACACAGTAATATAAAGTACAGTAGAGTAGAACAGAGGGAACTACAGAGAACATGATCCATCTCAGTGCAGACGACATGACAAAAAACTGATATGAAGCACTTTTAAATCTAAATTCTTTCTATTCTGATCAAAATAATCCACACCAAGATCTTGTCAAAACATTTGAAAAGGAAAAACTGGCATTTCTACAACTGTTATATAAATACTCATGGGTCAGTCCATATGAAATCAGATTTGGCAAATTTAAAATCACCAAGGAATCTCCCCTATGAGAAGCCATCATGTTTGACAGAATTTAGAGCTGTGGCCCCTAAAATCTCACATTTAGATGCCACTCAATTTTCTTTTTCAAGTTTTTGAGGCCCATCATCACAGGCCATAACTCAGCAACGACTCAAGTGATTGAGCTAAAATTTGAGATTCTTTCATTTGGTGGTTTTAGAATTTTAAATTTTTTTTTCCAGCCAAATCTGAGATGGCTCATAGGGAAGTGCATCTGATTTCATACGGACTGACCCTCATATCTAAATATACCATGACTATTTAAGTACAGTTTAGTTTAAAATTCATATAAATTGCAAAAAACAAAGCTATATTTGGTACTTTGGTTTAAAGACTTGAAATGACCTGCACCTTAAAGCAGACGACTTAGACTTGACTTGGACTTGCCTGTCTTTGACTTGGAACTTGACTCGGACTTGAGGTCAAAGACTTGAGACTTATTTGAGACTCGCAAAAGTACGACTTGGTCCCACCTCTGTCTGTCTATTTTCCTGACCAAGTTACAGGTCGGATCTGAGAAGTGGCGACCCTGCTCACAGTAAAATGTTTTGAATATAAAAGCAACTTTATCTAGTTAAAGAAACTGTGTTATTTGGGTGGAAGAACGTGATGTCTGGTGAAAGGAGTTATTGTCAGCAGAAATGTTATCTTGTCTGGACGATCAAATGCTGTTTTATCTGAAAAAACAAAACAAAAAAACAAGGAAAAACGATATAAATCTCTCCAAATCTTTAACATGTTATGATAAATGCATGCACAACTTACAGAAAGCAAATCTCTTGAATTGTTTTAAGGTCCGTATAATTTGTTTACAGGTTTAAGTTTGACCGGGAATCTCACCTGTTTGGGTTTCCTCTTTGCCCGTGTCATTTCCTGTTGTTGTTTTTGTCGAACCTCCTCCAAACTAAGACACCCTCCTGTCACGCAACACCAAAAATAAGACACATTTTACACTTTCGCATGACATAATTTGGTGATATTAAGAGTTATTTACAATATTATAACAGAATAGAAGATTAGAATAGAAAAACAACATTCAATCAGATCAACGTGAGTTTAACGAAGTCTTTTTAAGTCATTTTTATTCATAAATGTAATGTAACTTATAAAGAGGATCTATAATAGTAAATGTGTGAATGCTTACCCACAGCACTGGGGTTAATGGAGACGTAGGCTGTGTGTTTTGATACTCGCAGTTCCTCCAGGGCAGTAAGCTCCGCCTCTGCCTCTGCTCAACCAATCAGATCACGTAAAAATATCAACAATTAAATATATTTTTTAGTAGAAAAACATACACATCTATTCATAACAACTCACTTTTCTGTATCTCCAGCCTCTTCTTTGGGTCGGGGCATATCACCGTGAACGCTGCGTGACTAAAACAAAACATTTTATTATCATTTTCATGCAAGAGTTTCACTAAGTATTTCTAGTAATTTAATTTGCAAAGGTTTTCAAAATGAGAAATTGAAGAATCTCTGTTTAGGTTAATTGATATTTTGCAGCTGATGTCAACATTCCTTTGGGGTGTGATGCTAACTGTAGGCACTGCACTGTCTGAGGCTTTGTTTGAGTTTATTTTTTTTAGGCTTTATTTTAGCACAATTTGACCACAAGACCTGACTGAGCTGGAACTACAACAGGCGAGTTGACTTTGGGCGGATTGACAAGCTGATCCGTAAAGCTGGTCACGTGATCGGCCGTGAGCTGGAGACGTTTGTCACAGTGAGGGACAAGAGGACACTGGACAAACTGCTCCCCGTCACGGACACTCCTGCTCACCCACTGCACCGGACTAAAGAGGGACAACGGAGATAATACTCCCTACAACTGTAAAAAAAAAAAAAAAAAAAAAAAAAAAAAACTCACCCACTGCATCAGAATACAGAGGGACAGAGGAGGTAATACTCCATCAGGCTCCTACAGCTCAGCTCAAATTGCGAGAGATACAGGACTACAACTACTCACCCTTATGCAACAGATAATACTCCCTACTACTGTACAACAACCACAGGCTGCGCTACCATTAGGCAAAAGTAAGCAGCTGCCTCGGGCCCCCAAACCTGGAGGGGCCCCCAACCAATTGCCCTCAGTGCCACTACTGTCCAAGGCCTCAGAGTGATTTGATTTTCTCTCAATATGGCATTAAAAGAGAGTAGTTTACTTTTAAACAATAATCATAAGAAAAATAATCATAATCATAATTTAATGGATGAAAACAAACATGTAATTGTACTAGCAAAAAAATAAAACTACTTTCAGTTCTGGTTATCTAGTAGATGATCAAACTAATAAGACAAGTTTCCAATCCATCATAATTCAAATAAATAGAGATGTGCGTGTCTCAAGAACAATGGGGAAAAAACAGACAATAAATATATTAAAAAAACAAAACAAAACTTAAAAACTGTGCATTATAATGAGGGCCACAAACTCAAGTTCGCCTAGGGCCCCAAAACTGCTAACCCCGCCACTGACAACAACTCACTCACCCTATGTCTGGTCAGTCATCATATCGTTGTTGCACTGTCTTCCAATTTTTGTATTTTATTTTGACTTGTACATTTACATTTATATAATTTCACCTTATCTGAGACCTGTCTCTTGCTCTTTTTTGCTGCTTATTTAGAATTTATCGTTACCATTTATATTTTATCTCTTTGTTATTATATTATATTGTGATGTGTGAAGCCACTGTGTCTAAATAATTTCCCTTGTGGATCAATAAAGTTTAAGTCTAAATCTAAATGTAAGTCTTGTACTGCTAAACAAGTCCATCACAAATAACACAGTCGTAAGAGAGCTCAACTGTTCTTGTGTTGCTTAAATCCATTTTGTTTATTTTCTTGAGATTTCAGACAATCTTAAAACTTGTTTGGTTGTGTTTGCTAAATAGACGCAACATAGACATACACGCAGAACACCCCCCGCATGATGTCACTGCACAGCATCAATAAAATAATGAAGAAAAACGAACAAACCAAGGATACATTCAGGCTAACTATTTTTTGTTGTTGTTGTTTTTCCTTTTTGTATGGTTCCATAACCATATTAGGCCAATATGTTAATGTTTGGTCATTCCCAGTAGAGGGCAGTCTTTACTTTTACATTTAGTAATCATCCTTCTAATACTCGTACAGCTCTAACTCATGAACGTACTGCAGCCTACAATCAAGATTAGAATAAGCTACAGTTTTTGTTTGTTGTCAAAATTGTTGTTAACTTGTTAAAAGTTATTTGTGTTTGTGTTTTAAGTCTCGTCTTAAGACCCACTTTTACTCTCTGGCTTTTAACACAGCGTGAGTTGTGTGGTCCTCTGTGTCTTTTATTTATTTTTTATTTATCTATTTATTATTTATCGGCATTCTTGCTCTTATTTGATTTTACTAGTTTTATTGTCTTAAAGATGACTAGTGGAGTCAAGTTGAGCTTTATTTTTATATTTCTATTGGTTATGTTTTATTTGTTTTGTGCAGGACTGTTTTGTTTATCATTTGAGCTATATAAATAAATTGGACTGGATTGGATTGTACAGAATGAAAGTAAAGCCTCTTTTAAAGGTGCACTACGTACCTTTTTTCTGCACCTGCTTGTCTCCATGGTGTTATAGCTTTGCCTGGATGGAATGTTCCACTGTAGGGCATTAAATATACACGTTTTTTTGTTTTTCTTTTTTTTTTTTTTATGGCTATGGAAAGTAATATCCATGGAATTGTTGGACCCATAGTGATTCACTTCCACAAGAAAAGTTACACAGTGCAACTTTAAATAGCCTAAACAGAAAATCTTATAAGTGACAGTCCAAAATAATTAAATAATAAAATAAACCTGGACTTCTCACCTGTGCCTCGTAGATGAGAGTTGACCCTGATCTTGCGCCCTCTGCTGGCTGCATTTCGTTTCAGCGGTTTGTTTATCGGGAATTCTCGGCTTTTTGTTCCCAGTTTTTGCATCACAGCGCTGGGTGACGGGTTTAGGAGGTGTGGAGGCGGCTCTGGTTCTCCTCTGGGAGTTTGGAGCGGCTTTAGGTCCCGCTGAGGCCGCCTCTGAGCTCTCTCCCGGCGGACACCGTGAGCAGCTCGCCGTGCGGTTCCCACGGACACTGCACGGTAACTTTAACTCGCTTTCTCCGGTTGTTTCTCTTACCTTTAGCGGTTTAACTCTCTCTCTGGGTTTTTTAGACGTGCCCAGTGGATTGGTCTTTGTTACTTTTGGATTTGACATGCTTATTTGGATGTTTTAAGACAATAAAAATATGTAAACAATAGCATTTACATGTGACACTGTTGCTAGGGGGCCTTAGCAACCAGGTGTCTCGTCAAATGAAATCATGGAGCAGTACTTCCGGTTTGAACATTCACAATAAAATTATAGATGTACATTTTCAACAATTAAAATGACTGGATGTCCATAGATCACGACTTAGCTTTTGGTACAGTGTGTACATGGGTCAATCAATATGGGAATCCTACCACAGGTGCATTAGAAAAACTGTATTCAAGTTTTTGCGAGAGTAGTTTGGAGTTTTATTTTAAGAGCTGTAATTTCCGGAAAATTTCTCATGTGCTCTACAATCATAGATATGTTTGCTTGGTTTCAGATGACGCCGCAGCATTTTATTGGACAATATTTATTAATACAGAACTGAACTAAAACAAAACTTTTGACTGCTACTGTATATATAATGTGTGATTTGGTTTTCAGTGTTTTTCAAGTGTTTTGCCTACCACTAAAAATGCAGTGTTCTGTCTGTTCTGACTCATTGTCTCTGCTAGTTCTGTTGGGCACAAATCCAAAGGGCGGATCCTGCTCCTCCTCAACTCTGCCCACACAGGTCTCACTTCTCTTTCTGTAAAACTGAAACATCATTTACTTTTTCATCTGAAGCAGAAATGGAGCAGGGTGCTGTTCAGCTCAACAGACAGGCCTTTTTCTGTGCCATATGTTTGGATCTGCTGAAGGAGCCGGTCACTCTTCCATGTGGACATAACTACTGTAGAGTCTGTATTCAGAGCCACTGGGACCGACAGGTGCAGTGCACCTGCCCTCAGTGTAGACAGGTGCACAGCCCCAGACCTGTGCTCCATGTAAACACCATGGTGGCAGAGTTAGTGGAGCAGATGAGGACTGAATTCCAGTACAACACAATGGACCCGGAGACTTGGAGGCAGCAGATCCTGCACAGCATTCAGGTCAAAGAGGCAGAGCAGCAGAGGCTCCAGCAGGAGGCGCTGTCCCTGAGGCGCTGTGCTGATGAGACAATTAAACACAGTGAGGAGCGCTTCAGTTCGTTTGTGCGTGTGCTGGAGTCTGTTCACTGTGACGTGTCCCAAAATATCAGGACTCTGCAGGAGAAAGAAGAGGCCAAAATGAAACAGATCCATGACCAACTGGGGCTGGAGGTAACAGAGCTGAAGAACACTCTCTTTGAGGCGGCTCCAGAGACGCTTCAGAGACACCTCCCTCCCTCTGCCCACACACCCAGGACATACTCACTGCCCCTGGGGTACTTTGAGCAGGCCAAATCAGCGGTGACCGCCCTCACAGACCTGCTCCAGTCGACTCTGACAGAGGGACTACAGAACATCTCACAGGGTTTTACACAAGGCCAACCATCAACCAGACCTCAACCAGGACCTCCACAACCTGAGCCCAAAACCAGAGCAGAGTTTATGAACTATGCACGAGAGATCATCCTGGACCCAAACACGGTTTATAATATGATGACACTACACAAAGGAAACAGGAAAATAATGCGTATGAATGCGAACTATAGGCTTCTTAACATCTATCCCGATCATCTGGACAGGTTCAGTGAGTACGAACAGGTCCTGAGCAGAGACGGTCTGACAGGCCGCTGTTACTGGGAGGTGAAGTGGGAAAAGCTGCGTGTTGTTCTTGCAGTGTCTTACCAGGACATCAAGAGAAAAGGAGATTCAGAGGATTGTAAATTTGGATACAACAAGAATTCTTGGGCTTTAAAATGTTATACATATAAATGTTCCTTTTGGCATCACAGTGTTAAATCAAAAATATCATGCTCAGTATCAAAAAGAATTGGGGTTTACCTGGACCACAGTGCAGGGGTTTTAGCATTTTACAACATTGAGGACCAAACCATGAGCCTCATCCACAGAGTCCAGACCACCTTCACTCAGCCTCTGTACGTTGGAGTCAGACTGGACCTCTTAGATGACACAGCCTATTTCCCTAAACTCAGATAAACTGAGATTCAATTTGCGCACCTTATTTTGAAGGACTCTCTTCGTATTGAGTTTAACCTGTCCTGTATGTAAACTTTCTGTAAATGCAACACTTGTCACAGTTATATAGGTAGAATTCTGTGTATTATATTTTTTTCATATTCATATAACATTGCATTGTCGGGAAAGAAAAATAACTGGTGAGGTGGGAAAACACCAACAAACAAAATGGTTCTTTTTGGACAGAAGACCCTGACACTGTGCTGAGTAAAACTAAATCTCATCTTCATATCTTTACCATCCCTTCATCAACATTAAATGTGAGCTGGTAGATTATTTGATAATTGATTCATTAAAATCACTGCTTTCAAGAACCAAAGTTGCTCTGTTTATGTTATGCTCATTAGTTTTTTCCAAATACATGTTGCTGTGATGTATACATGTTTATGTTTATTTTATGTATATTTTTCTCTATATTTTCACAGTTTGAGAGGAAGAAGTTCAATTATCTCCATGTAGCCCTATTGTATGGAGGTTAAAGTGAAAGCATCAACTTTCTTACTCTTCCTTGAAAAAATATATTAAAAGTGCACTATGCAACCTGGTAGAGGTCACCAAGTCTCTCAGAGATGTTATTGTCATGTTATACATTGTTATGTTATTATGTTTTGTTTTATGCTGATTCTGATTATTGCTTTTGCCTGGAATATTCCACAGTATGCCATTAAAATTTCTCTATCTTGCATTGATTAATTTATATGCATTTTTGCTACAAAAAATAAAATTTTTACTGTGAGTGGGCTCAACTCTCTAGTCTCTACAGATATGGCCTGGTGGCATCTGCTGCTTGCTTTCTCTAATACAAAACAACGTGGTGTGATTCTTGCCATAACCTGAAATTGCTTTAGTAACTGACCGTACTTTGGTCAAATCCTATTTTTGAGATTTGTTTGATCAAATTTAATCTTGGAATATAAACAGTTTTACTAATAAATACTTGCTCAAAATCTGTGAAAAATATATATTTAAACTGTTCAATTTTCTTCATCAGTGATTTAAAATGTCCATATTATAACATAATGAGCCACGGGTGTCATGGATTATAACTATACATCTGAAACAAGAAACAAGCACAATATGTCTTCTTTTGCATATGCCTTGAGCGCTCTGAACCTTATGGTCTTTTGTTGCTCTCCACCACCTGAGCCCAAAACCTGAGCAGAATTTATGAAATATGCATGAGAGATTGTCGTGGAAACAAACACAGCTCACCATTCAGTGACACTATCCAGAGGAAACAGGCGAGCAGTTTCCTCCAGTTGTTCATGTTTGTTCACAACTATTCCAAATGACCTGGGCAGGTTCAGTGGGTACCCTCAGGGTCTGAACAGAGACGGTCTGAACAGAGACGGTCTGAACAGAGACGGTCTGAACAGAGACAGTCTGACAGGACGTTGTTTCTCGGAGGTGGAGTGGGAAGAGCTGCGTGTTGTTCTTGCAGTGTCTTACAAGGACATCAAGAGAAAAGGAGATTCAGAGGATTTGGAATCAAAGAGAAGTCTTGGGCTTTAGAATGTGATCGATAATTTTTCCTTTTGGCATCACAGTGTTGAGTCAAAAGTATCATGCTCATTACACTCATTATTATGCTCATTATCAAAAAGAACTGGGGTTTACTTGGACCACATTGCAGGGGTTTTAGCCTTTTACAACCCTGAGGACCAAACCATGAGCCTCCTCCACAGAGTCCAGACCACCTTCACTCAGCCTCTGTACGCTGGAGTCAGACTGAAAGGCTTTGATACAGCCTATTTCCTTAGACTTAGATAACTCACTATATAATGGTTTCTCCAGTGGTTATATGTAGGCCTATTTTTCCCAAATGTTGTGATGTTTACATATTAGCATGTATATTTTTTCATGTATTTTTTCTGTACATTTTCACTGTTGAGGAGTAAGAAGTTGGATTTCTATGTTCAGTTTCTACGTACATTGTATGAAAGTTAAAGCAAGAGCATCAATATTATTACCCCACAGAGTTGGATTGTATTAAACTTCCACAATCATTTGTAAAAAAATATATATTAAAGGTGCACTGTGTAACTCTTTTTATCTTGTACTGATTCAGTTACAGTTCTTTTTATTGCTAAACATATTCACCGCCCCTGGAGTACTTTGAGCAGGCCACGTCAGCTGTGACCGTGCACATCTCCCTGTTACTGGTAGGTCAAGTCGGAAAGACTTCATGTTGTTTTTGCAGTGTCTATAAACTTAGGGATGTACTCCTCCTCTGTGTCTCCCTTACATTACGGTGTGCCCCAGGGTTCTTCATTAGCGTTGGCCCTCTTTGCTTTATCCATGCTCTTGCTGGGTGATGTTTTTAGAAAGCACATTGTCACATTTCACAGTTTTGCAGAACACATTCAGTCAAATATATTTGCCTGTGACCTCAAATGACACACGACAGGACTGTCTCAGGGATGTACAGACCTGACTGAGTGCAAACAAAACACACTGAGACTGTGGTGTCTAGGCAAACTAACCCACTGCTGGGACAGGACAGTGAGACTGGACCTCTGTCCTCCTGTTGTCTCTCTACAGTGAGGACTCGGGGTGATTGTGACTCTATGTTCAAACTGGACAAGCACATTAGCAGTGTCCAGCTTCTTTCAGTTGAGGCTCCTTGCTAAAATAAAGCCCTATCACTCACAGGCGGATTTCGAAAAAGCGATCCATGCATTTGTAACATCATGCCTGGACTATTGTAATTCTTTGTATGTAGGATTAGACCAGGGCTCCTGCAGTGCTTACAACACGTCCAGAATGCTGCAACTCGTCTGCAGACAAATACCAAGAGATGAGAACACATGACCTGCACTGGCTCTCTGTCTTATATCAGGTGCAATTTAAAATGTTATTGATTGTGTTCAAATGTTTGCACTCTATGGGTCCAGTCTATTTGAGGGAATTACTGCAGCCCTAAACTCCTGCCCAGGGCCCTGAGATCAGCTGACCACCCAAAAACTAGGCTCAAGACAAGAGGTGACAGCATCTTTTCTGTGGCAGCGCGCAGACTGTGGAACAACCTTCCTCTTCCTGTCAGATCCTCTCAGTCTGTAACGCAGTTTAAGACTAGACTGAAAACTCACCTCTTCACACTGGCATTTAGTACAAGCTCGTCAGGTTATCTTGGTGTTTTATTGTAGTTTTCACATGTATCTGTATATCTGTATATGTATTTGTTTCTTCTGTTTTTTTATGTAAAGCCCTTTGGTCGGTTGAAGTTGTTTTAAATGTGCTATATAAGTAAACTTAAATTGAATTGAATATAAGAATTGGGAGAAAAGGAGATTCAGAGGATTGTGGAATTTGATATAATGAAAAATCCTGGGCCTTTGAATGTAGGAATTTTTTTTTTCTCCTTTTGGCATCATAGCATTGAGTCCAAACTGAAGTCAGGGATACTAGAGTTAGTTTCAGAGCGAATTGGGGCTTACCTACACCACAAGCACAGGGGTTTTAGCCTTTTACACTATTAAAGACCAAACCATGAGCCTCCTCCACAGAGTCCAGACCAACTTCACTCAGCCTTTGTACACTGGGGTTGGACTGTTTTGTCAACATGACCCGGCATATTTCCCTAAACTCAGAGATGGTGGTAGGCAGCCTCACCCTCACTAAACCTATTGGGATTATCTAGTACTGTAGACTGTGCACTGGGACACTTTATCCAAGAAATACTCTGGTCAGAGAGTAAATTAGGACAACTGAATGTATTTGTGGAACTTTTAATATCCTTTCTTCAATCTTTTCATCTGTGCTATCCTTTCATGTGAACTATCCTTTCATTTGTTTCATTTGTTGTCTGTTTGTCTGGTTATCTGACCTTCTGTCTGTTTGTACATTTACACAACGATTAAAGAAACAATTCAATAAATATTTACAAACCCACCTCTATCATATTCTATCAGACTTAGATAGGTTAAAGGTAATGAGCTGAAGCTACAGCAGTCAGGTCAGCAGTAACAGTGTTACCACGGTGCTCCTCCACAGATTCCAGACCACCTTCACTCAGCCTCTGTACGCTGGAGTCAGACTGGAACACTTTGAGGCAGCCTATTTCCCTAAACTCAGATAACTCACTATATTCCTCCAGTGGTTACATGTAGGCCTATTTTTTCCCCAAATGCTGTTGGGATGTTTACATATTAGTATTTATTTGATATATTTTTTCTGTACATTTTCACTGTTGGAGAGTAAGAAGATGGATTTGTATGTTCAATTTCTCTCCAGATCTGATCTTTAACTTGGCCTCAGGTACTTGTCTCTAACTGGTACATTTCTTTAACATAAAACAACACGGTGTGCTTATTGTCGTCATAGCTTAGACAGGATTCAGATTCTTAACTCAGCAAATTAGTCCATGAATTATCCTATTATATAACTTAATTACAGCGTAAACAATTGATACTGACGTCATCAACATTCCCTGGGCGTGTGATGTTAACTGGAGGCATTGTCATAGCTGATTTGGAACTTTACACACTCTAAAATAGTTACCTAAATTAGTTAAATTAAAAAGGTGCCAAATTGGACAATGACAGCCACTTTCGCTGTCTGAACTTGGTGTGATTTTTTTTCTTCGTGATTTGTCATAAATTGAGAGTTTGACCTAGACTTTTTCACCACTTCAGCCTTAATTCGCCCAATTGATACTTTGAGGCTGGTGTCATCAACATTCCCTGACGGTCCTTTGTTAGACTTTAATCAGTTTTATTTAGTATTTAGTATTTTTTTTTTGTGTTTTCAAGGCTTTCTTAAACCTATTTTCAGCCGTGTTCACTAATGTAACGGGAGATTTACTGTTTTTGAAAGAAATATCCAAAATAGAAATCCACAAATGATGAACCATGTCATTTTTTTTATGGGATTGGTTCCACAAACGTACCATTTTAATAGTTTAAAGGTGCATTGTGTAACTTTTCTGGTGAAGGTTCATCAGCTGCATGTTTCTATGAGTT